GGGGAGAGCACCTTGGCACCCGTCTTCCTCTTACTGGGACAGCTGAAACAGGCAGCTGGAGCTCACGATAACGTCCCTGGCCTCTTGTGCCGATGCTTGGCGCGAGGTGTTGAAAGTTCAGGCTGTTTCAGTAAGTGAAAAAGTAAAACTGGTTTCCCGTTTCCTGAGCTCTAGGGCATTGGAGACCAGATGCTTTCCCTAGACTGGCACTGTGGCAAGGGCTTCACCCCGGCTCCTGGCTCTGCAGGAGGGCTGTTTGGTGGTGGCACAGCCTGTTCTGAGTGACCAGACCTGTATGGTGCCAGGGGGCTGCTGGGGGGGGGCACCGGGAACCTGCTGGGGTCTGGGGTGGGTCCTTACTTCTTGCGGGTGGTGCTCTGTGCCTGTTGCGCTAGAGGATTTTGGGGGACTGTCACATACGGGCAGATCAGACCTCTAGGGAGGATGAGGTCCTGTGTCTGCAGCTTGGTGACTGAAGTTGAGGCTCCTGCCAGTCCCTGACGTGGCGAAACCTGGCGTTTCCCCGTCTCTGGAGGGGGTGTGGGCCGACATCCGTGCTGCAGCGCCATCACACAGAGGTGCTGGGCAGCGTGTCCTGTGGGGTTTCTGTTGAACTGCCTTTCTCTGCACCTCTCATTTCAGCCCCATGATGAACAGATTCTTCCCTGCAAATTTCCCCAACAAACAGTACCAGCTCCTCTTCACCCAGGGCTCCGGGGAGAGCAAGGAGGGTATGTTGGCTTGCCAGTCTCTCTGGGGGCCCGAATGTTTTCTGCCTTTACTGTTCTGTTTCTTGCTCTCTTGGTGTTTTGACTTTCAGCCCCGCCGTGTGTCCCTGCAGAGCTGGGGCTGCTGTGTGCATTTTCTTGGCCCGGCTGCCGCTCTCCCTCTGTGCTGCCTCCAGCTGGCAGCGAACTCCCAGAAGGAGATCCCAGGGTGCTATAGGAATGGAGCTATGGCTGCTGTTAAATGCACTGCCTTTATTTAAGCTCCTTGGGTAGCATAGTACTGACTTTTTTGTGTGCCTTAACTTATCTGATTCAAATCTTTGCACTGGTAGAAGGTGCTTCGATAAGTATCCCACCCAGTAGCTTTACTGGTAAGGGAATACTTCTTCTAGTGATACCACCAGGAGGTAACTGGTGCAGGAAGAGGGAGAAGATGCGCCTCTCCCTGCCTTAGACAGTGCCTGAATCCAATTTCTTTATTGACAGAAGGATCGCAGATGCTGTCCATGTGGCAGAGTCTGGCTGAAGGAGAAGGTCCGGGCTTGCCAGGGCCGGCTGCTCGCTCGCATGCAGTTTGCACGTGTTTACCGTGGGCACGGCCATTTCTGTGGGTACAGTCCCCTCGTTTGGGACGCGAGCGCTGTGGTCTGTGTTGCTCCCCAGCTGTAAAGTCACTCATCTCTGCCCTGCGTGGGAAGGGGAGCTGCCCGGGCTGCCCAAAATCTAACTTCTCTGTTTTATTGCAGAAATAGTGAATTACGAGTTTGACACCAAGGATCTCGTATGCCTGGCCCTGAGCAGTGTTGTGGGGGTCTGGTACCTGCTGAGAAAGGTAAGCGAGCCGCAGCCCTGTTGCGGGGAGGCCAGGGGACCAGGCTGGATCAGACCCGGGCCCCTTTCCACACAAGGCCTCTGCAGGCTGAGGCCGTTGCTTGGCACGTGCAGTGGGACCCAAATCTCCTTTTCCTGTCGTTCTCAGCACTGGATTGCCAACAATCTCTTTGGGCTGGCGTTCTCCCTCAACGGGGTGGAGCTGCTGCACTTGAACAACGTCAGCACTGGCTGCATCTTGCTTGGGGGCCTCTTCATCTACGATGTCTTCTGGGTAAACGGGAGCGTTCCCCGGGGCGGACGCGAGTTGCAGCCGTTGGCGGAAGGCATGTGCGTGGCGTTATGCCTCTTCAGAGGCAGCACGCTGGCTGGACACACGTTTGCAATCAGGATTTCCACTTTCTTAGCCCAAAGGGGTGTGGTGGGGATGATGACGGAATCAAACAGCAGCAGAACATGGCTCAGCAAATGTACATTATTTTAATCTCTGGCTTAGAGAGCCCAGGGCTGGCAGGGATCTCATCAGGGCTGTTGTGGGGTATCCGGCTATGCGGCATATCCAGTTTTGGTGACCTGTATTCCCAACTAAGATCTTCCCAATGCCTGATAGAGCTGCTGGGTGGGCTGGAGGAGGCTGCTGCTCTGGGAGATGCTGATCCTGCTTGTATGGGCTGTGCCTCAGCTCTATCATCTGCTGGCTTCGTTAGCGTCCTTCTGTACTCTTGCACAGAGGACCAGATACGGTTCCCTCAGCCAGTGCAGTGCCCTGACACCTTCATTTTGAGGTTTTCCTTATCTCTCTGCAATGGGCCTGGACCCGTGTTTCTCCTTGTAATGTCCATATTCCCCAGTCCTTCCTGCTGCCTCCACCTTCTGAATTACTGGGTTTCCAAATGTCTGAGAGCCTTGTATACCTTGAGGTCTGTCCAGCAGCTCTGCAGCCGCCTGCGTAATCCTTCCCTATTTAAGTTTGGCTACTGTGTGTTATTTTGTACTTGGCCGGTGCTGCCCCTGTTTCATAGGTTCGTTAACAGTCTCAGCTCTGTGGTTTGTTTGCCACTTCCTCCGCTGCTCTCAGCTGGAGAGGATTCAGCCTTCTGGCTTAGCACCCCCAGTGCCTCACGCCCTGCTTGGGGTGCAAGTGTCTTCCCAGTGCTTCAGAGACAGCGAGAGTGCAACCCCTGCTGCTCTCCGCTTGCTGGCTGTCTCCCACCTCGGCTTCCCCGGCAGGTCAGTGTATTGCCAGAGCCTCACGGAAGGGCCATCTTGAAGTGGAAACCCTCTTACTGTGCCCCTCTGCAGGGACAGGTCACTTGGATCTTAGCATGGATTTAATCACAGTGAGATCCAAGGAGGGTTTCAAGGAGGAAGGAGAACTGCTCAGTGGATCAATGATATTGCCCCCTGCCTAGTCTTGGGGTGAATTTGCACGTGATGCTTTTCCCTGGACCCAGTGTGGAGTCCTGTCACTCCGTGGCAATGCCCAGAGCCTGCTGCACCTTATCTGATGCCCAATGCTTGCTTTAAGGTTTCTCTTTAATCCCTGCCTCTAGGGTCTTGCTCACCTGGTGCTAACCAGCACCTGGTTTATGTGCCTGCTGCTGGTATAACCAAGACTGGAGGCTTGGGAGATGAAAAGGAACAGAAATAAGGGTGATTGACCTATGTGGCTGACCTAGTCCATCCCCGAAAGGATGCCAATATTTAAAGCTGATAGTGCAGTACAAATAAATGACCTCAGAGCAAAATGCAGCTGATCTGACAATTGCTCTGGTCCCAGTTGGAAGCTCATGGGCAGCAGCCTGGCGCTGGCCGGGACTCTGCTGGGAGCTCCTGCCCTCGGATAACATCCTGCGCGGCGGTCAGGCTTTCCACTGAGTTGGCTAATTGGAGCTGAACTGACCTGCTGGGGAAGGCCAGGGTGGTGGGCAGCACCGCGGCTCTGCAATGTGAGTGGTCTTCCCGGCGCTGCTCTGAAAGCAGGACGGCCGTGACGTGCTCACCTCCTCGAGCATTGTCCTGTGCCTTCTCCCCTGCGCGGTGGGCTCACTTGCAGGACTCCTTGCCCACAGCTCAGCGGCTCTTTGGCTGTTTTCTGCCATTAGGCCACTCGAGGCCCCGAGGTGACGCTGTAGCTGAGCGTGTCCCTGTGCAGCTGTGGTCACCCCAGACTCCTCTGCTTGCCTTTAGGTCTTTGGCACCAATGTGATGGTGACAGTTGCCAAATCATTCGAGGCCCCGATAAAACGTGAGTAGATCTTCCCCGTGTGCTGGAGGAGGGGCTGCCCCTTCTGCTGCGGTCGCTGCCCCATGCACCCTCTGCCTTCTGGAGATGGCTCAGAAGGTGGGATGTGTGCGGGAAGGTTTCCTGCTAGTGACCCCTTAGCCAGTGCCACCGACCTGCAGGGAGCTGGGCCGGGTCTCTGGAGAGGGATGGTTTGCAGAGCCCTGAGCAGGCTGGATTAGTCTGCACCCCCAGAGCGGGCAATTTCACCTGCTCATAACAAAAAAGGCAAAAACCCCCACAGACCCCAAAAAACAGCAGGAGGGGTGAATTTGTGGTGTTGTGGAGCTTGCAGCGGTTTGAGTCCTCGGAGCTGGGGCTGAAACCTGTGCATGGGGCTGGCCCCTAACCCCTCAGTTTCCCATCCTGGGGCCCAGAGTTGTCCCAGGAAGGAGAGCTAGAGGAGCTGCAGGGGAGGAGGAGACCGAGGGCAGGGATGGGGATCTTGCCCTGCTCCGGTCCCTTTTTGCCGGGCACAGCAGAGCTGAGGTCTGCTCAGCAGAGACTCTCCCCCCTTACTGTTCCTCTCTCTACTCTTCGTAGTGGTTTTCCCTCAGGACCTGCTGGAGAAGGGGCTGGAGGCTGACAACTTTGCCATGCTGGGTCTGGGAGATATTGTCATTCCAGGTAAGGACAGAAGAGGGGGGACAGACAGGATCGCCTGTCTGAACGGGCTGCGGGGAGCTGAACGGGTGCCTTGCTGTGCCTGTGGCCATGCCGGAGCCCTGCGGGCCTCCTGCCGGGACTGGGGGGTTGCGTGGGCTGGGGGCTGTGTGGGCTGGGGGTCTCCCACCAGGTCCAGGTACTGTCCTAGTGCCTTGTGCCGCGAGAGGGCACTGTCAGCCCAGGCACGGCACCCAGAGCCGCTGCAGGTCCTGCCCTGCCTCGCTCAGCCTTTCCTACGACCTCCATCCCCTCACTGTCCCCTTCTCCCCTCAGGGATCTTCATTGCCTTGCTGCTGCGGTTTGACATCAGGTGAGTGGGCGGTAGGGAAGGGTCTCTGGCAGGTTGGATCTTGCAGCATATTTGAGCTGCTTTTGTAGAGGAAAAGGGGAAGAGGAAGCCAGGAGCGCAGTCGTGTGCTCCCCTCCGGGACTTGGCATGGGGACCCGGGGGAGCGGCTGGGACAGGACAGGGAAGCTCTTGGAAGAGTAGACATGAGCAGGGCTGACTTTGTGGGTAAGTCCTGAGCGCTGGGAGTGAGTTGTTTGAGCTCACAGGCGTTGCTGTACGCACGGCAGGGTGGGCAGGGCAGCAGCACATAATGGCCCCCCAGAGCCTCACCGGCTCCCTGGCACTGAGGAGGAGAGGGCAGTGCTGCGGCAGCAAGGGGAAGCGGTGACGGCATGGGAAAGAGCTGGGGGTGCTGGCACCTGGGAAGTGCTCACATGGATGCAAATCGGTGCCTGGCAGTGCTGGCTGCCGTTGACATTGGGGGAAGCAGCTCCTTCCTATGCAGGGAAGGTGTACCTACACCACCTACCGGGGTGTAGCTTTCAGCAGTTGCCCCACACTGAAAGTCTCCGGCTGGGGAGCTGCCGGGAACGGGCCGCTTCATGCGACTGCGGTGGTGTGGCCCCTCTCACGCTGCTGTTGCACAGACCCTTCGCTCTGTGCCAGCTCTTCCAGGTGTTTCCACCCACATCCTGCCTGCACCTGCTGGGAATCCCAGTTCCCGCGGCCTGCCCTGCGATAAAACAGCATGTGCTGAGAGCGGGGTGCCAGGGACCGGCCGTGCCTCCCCCGAGAAGGTGGGACCCTCTCCCTGGGTCCCAGCACTGATTCCTCCCCTGCCAGTAGCCATCCAGCAGCAGGATCGTGTGCCTCCTTCCCTTCCCAGCCCCTCACCTGGGTGTCACCCCATCCAGTCCTGCACCGCTCCCACGGGACCCGGGGCTGTGCTGGTGGCAGTCTCTGCGCTGGCCCAAGAGCATGGGCAGAGCACAGCTCCCCGTGCCCAGGCTGAGAACGCTGGGCCAGCTCCATTTTGGCCACTGGCATCCCAGACCCGAGGTCACTGGGCTCTGCTCCCTTTTCCTACAGCTTGAAGAAGAACACGCACACGTATTTCTACACCAGCTTTGTGGCCTACATCTTCGGGCTGGGCCTGACCATATTCATCATGCACATCTTCAAGCACGCCCAGGTGAGCTCCGCCGTGCTGCCTCCTGCAGATGCACGTCCCAAGCAGGACACGCCAGCTTGGCCACAAGGTTCCTGCATCATGCCAGGAAAAAGTAGATGCATTCCTTCTCTTGGCTTTGCTTTTCCAGTGCCTGCCTCTACCTTTCCCTGCCCAAAGCTTGTGTGCCTGGCTGGAGCAGAGTCCTGTTTGGGGCAAGGCTGGTTCAGGCAGCTGCATTTCCAACAACAGCACCTCAGCTAGGCTGCCCTGTGTTTTTGTGGCTCTTTGCAACCAAGCTGCCCCTGAAGACCCACCCTCCGTGCTGCGGAGGGGCCCTGGGAGCCCACAAGCCATGGGTGCTGTCGCTGGTCTGCACGGGGACCCTTGGTGTGTTCATGGCCTGCTGGGACCTCACGGCGAGGGTTTTGTGCAGCTGCAGCTGTAACTTGGCTCTTGAAGCCACTTTCTGGGGCATTAACCCCCTGTGCAGCACTGTGACAGACGCCATGGGTGCAGAGGGGACAGGGCCAGGTAGCTCACCTCACGCTCCTCCCAGGGAGTGGTTTGTGGTTTGGTTTAACAGTTTTTCTTCCCGACAGCCTGCTCTTCTGTACCTGGTCCCTGCATGCATCGGATTCCCGCTTCTTGTGGCCTTGGCAAAGGGAGAAGTAACTGAAATGTTCAGGTGAGCGTCAGCTGGGGATGGAGCTGTTTTGCCTGCGGCGCTGGAGCACATGAAGCGTGCAGATGTTCCCACGCCTGGGCACAGCTGGAGGGACGGGTTCATCTGGGCACGCTCTGCGTGTGCACGTGCGTGGGTGGAGGGAGTGGGTCTGTGTTTGTACATGCCGGCCCTGGCTCCAGCCACCTCCTCGTAGCCGGGTGGGAGCTTTGGTGCGGTACCAACAGGCATCTAGTATTGCTTTACGCCCTGGTGACAAACTCTTCCCGTGCGCTGGCAGGCAGGGGAGGGTGGGACCGCACACCTGGTGCCGAGATACGTGGTCATTGTGTCCCAGGGCCCGTGGGTGGGGGAGAGCGGAGCCGGATCCGGCTGCGAGAGCAGCCAGGGCTGGTTCAAGCACATCCCAGCCTCCCCGCTCGAGTGAAGTATCCTGGTTTGCAGCAGTCTCCCTGCCCCGGGGACTGTAGGTGCAGAGAAAGGGGGCTGTGCTGTGCTGTTGCGCTCTGGGCCTTCTCTCAGCCTGCCACGCTCCAGGCATTTGCCGGTTCGCGGTCAGTGGGCAGCTTTGGTCTCCTGCCTGGACTGTCCCCTTTTGGCCTGGCCTGGCCTGCCTGGGAGCTGTTTCTCCACTGTGCTTGGCCAGTTGTGGCCCAGCGCAGTCGCTTGAGGGTGGCTGAAGCAGAGGAGGGAAGGGAACATCCGTCCCAAAGCAGGGCTGTGCACCCCCC